CAGGCTGGGTTTAGAAGGGGTCGTGGTACTAGGGATATTGTAGCTGAGGTTAGATGGATCTTAGCTGAAAGCAGGGAATACCAGAGGAATGTCTACCTGTGTTTCATTGACTATGCAAAGCCATTTGACTGTGTAGATCATAACAATCTGTGGCTGACTCTGAGAAGAATGGGAATCCCAGAACACTTGATCGTTCTAATGGGAAATTATGGCTAGCATAGGGAAAAGTGGGAATCCCAGAACACTTAATTATGCTCTTATGAAACCTATACGTGCACCAAGAAGCCATTTCCTGAACACAGTAAGGGAATATTGTATGGTTTATAATTAAGAAAGATGTGTGTATAGGTTGTATCCTTTCCCTGTACCTATTCAGTCTATATGCTGAGCAAATAATTTTTGAGACGCTGGACGCTATGAAGAAGAGTGGCATCAGGATTGGAGGAAGACTCATCAACAACCTGAGTAATGCAAATGACACAGCCTTGCTTGCTGACAGTGAGGAGGACTTGAAGCACTTGCTGCAGGTGATGAAAGACTTATCTTCAAAGTGCATTGTTTATCAACATTAAGGGGAAAAAAAATCCTTACCACTGGGCTGATAGACACCATCATGATGTCAAGAATTTCATTTTGCTTGGATCCACAGTCTATAAGTCTACATCCATGAAAGTGACAGTTGAAAAATCAAAAGACGTGCTGCACTGAGAAAGACTACTGCCAGAGACCTTTCAGGTCCTAGAGAACAAGAATGTCACTTTAAAGATTAAAGCGTGCCTGATCCAAGCCAATTTTGATTGGCTTCCTGTATATCTGAAAGTTGGAAAAAGATTCAGGATGATGGTAGAATAGATAACTTTTGAATTGTGTTGGAAAGAAATTTTAAAAATCTCATGGACTGCCAGAAAAGCGAATCAAATCTTTCTTGGAGGAAGTGGAACCACGGTCCTCATTAGAGGCAAGGATGGTGACATTTCGTCTCATGTACTTCAAGCAGGTTGTCAGGAGAGGCTACTGTTAGGTAAAAGGCAGGAAAAAGTAGAGGGTCGGTGAAAGGAAGGAAGATTCTCAGTAAGATGGATAGACAGCGTGTAAGAATGATCCTGAGTGTGTTTGAGATTGTACGAATGGTTCAGGCAAAGACAAGATTCAAATCTCTCACTTTTAGGGTAGCTGTGACTTTTCTTCAACTTGACAGTACCTAATAGCAACCTTAACAGTAACAAAAACAGTAATAAGTTGTAGTTAACCATCAGGCCAGTCTGGTTGTTTGAATTCATCAGCAGCTGTTTCAGAGCAAAGTGGGCCTTTTCGTTGTTAAGATTTACAGCCTCAAACCCAGAGGAGGGCTTCTATGTTTCAGAACCAAGTTGATGTCCATTAGAGTCTCACCTGGCAATTGTAATCCTCTTTCACCAGCACCAAAGCCTCAATCATTGCTGGTTTACTGACTGGAACGAATTTACTTGACATTGGAACCCATGCCAAGAATCGAAATGGAATTAGGGTCTTACCCAACCCTAACCCTCCCCTTCCACAAATCATTGCTCTGCATGGTGAGCTGTGACACAGGCAGCAGGTGAATGGTTGTGAGGAGTTACTAGGCCTCTCTTGTCAGGTTACTGGCCTTAAAGTGCTGAAAGGTCTGAAGAATTTGCAAAGAAACACAGAAGTTCAGTTGCCAACTAAATGAGCAGATAGAAAAACAGTTTTCAGAAGATTACTGAAATGATAATTTTCTTCCCGACTTAGAAGCCCTTTTACCCTGCCTCATCTTTCTAATCATATTATCTGCTGAAGCTTAGTCCTCTCCATTCTCCTGATCAGGCAGGCAGCCCTTTGAAAAGGCCACCCCGAAATGCAATGTATATGTACTTTGTAACTAAACCAGTATGAAAGAAAATAATAATTAAAAAAAGAAGCTGTGTACCATCATAAAAAAAAAAAAAAAAGAAAGAAAAGGCCACCCCTCTGAGCTCTGACCTCATTCAGCTTCATTGGCTCAAGTCTTGAAGTCCCTGTGTGTTCTTAGGGATTCCACCTTCTCTCCCAGTGCTCCATTCATGTTCACAGCATAGCCCAGCTGGGTCCATCACCTTTATCTGCTTCAATTCCAGCTGTGTCCCATGCCTTTGTTGCTTTTGGTTGTCTCCATGATTGGTGGTAGAATTGGGTTAGATAGTCAAAAAGTGGAATCTTAACTCCATTTAAAAATCTTTACATGAATCTGGAATCCATGTTGGATTGTAAACCTTGTTTCCTAAAGTTGATGGCTGACTTGGCCATAAACCCCAGAGAACACATTCCTTTTCTCTGAGATTTGAAGGTGATGTAGAAACCACCTTCTGCTGCCTCTTCCTTGTCAGGTGATGATAGCTAGTCTATTCACAGTGAGTTCATTTCCACCTAATAGTTACAAGATGCCTTAACTTGTGCCCCAAGGGTTTGAGAGAATTATCTTTACACTGGAAAAAGAATAGAGATGACCTTATGGAGGACACATGGTCACAGAACAAACGTGGCAACAGGCACACAGCAGGTGAAACACACAGACAGTTTTAGCATCCAGGAGCCTAACCAGCTAGCTCCTCTCCTGGAGGCCCCTGGGGTGAGAAGCTTCTGGGACACAGAACCGTCTGCTCTGCCAGTGGCATGCTTGGGGCCCCCTTGGTTTTTGGTCTCCTTTTTTCATTGCCCAGCTTTCAAATGTGTATGAGACAGTCAAGCAGCCCTAGTGTCCCTCATCCCTTAGGGCAGTTCAGCTGGTTCCTGGGACTCTTTGTTGCCCACTTGCCCACCTGTGGCTTCTCCCCATTTGTCCATGCTCTTATGTTCGTCACTTCTTGCCTTCTACTGGATGTTTGTGTCTTTCTGCCTTTTTTGCCAGAGGACGAACTCCAAAAGGGCTTATGTAGTTTCATTCATCTTATATCTGTTGCCTAGTTCCTCAGTCATTTATTACAGGCTGGGGAAAATGCCTCACCTTTTTGGCTTAGAAGAAACCATCTTCTGCTTTTTCCTTTATGTTTGCCTTCAGAGTATTGTAGAAATTGTGCTTGTCCTTGGGACCCTTTTCTCACTGAAGTTGTTGGAAACAGTACATGCCTGAGTGTCATGGGAATAGGTATCCAGAGTCACTTCCTCTTTCCTATATGTTTTAGATCCTCACAGAGTCCTGGCAACTATCCCTCCTTAATAACCTTGAACTCACTTAGTGCTGGCAGTCCCTTGTAGCTGCTCTCCTACAGAGTAGAGGGATGCACAACCCCCGCCAGGCGTGATGGACCCAGCACAGAGGTCTTGGGTGTCATCTTTGAGAAAGCCTTGCCACACCTCACAGGAAATATCCTGCTCCTCTTGTAAAGGTGTGATGTGACCTTAGTTTTAGGACAAGAAGAGAATGAGACTTGGACCTCAGTGGCTCTGCGGGTGCAGGAAAACCAGAATTGAGCCCAGGCCTGAGCTTAGAACAGAGTCGGCTGTGTCCCTGGGGCCTCTCTGCTCCAGGGGTCTTGTTGGGGGGAGGGGGGCAGCTAGCTGGTTAGGCTGCTGGATGCTAAGGCTGTGTTTCAGCCTGTTGTGTGCCTGTTGCCATGTTTGTTCTGTGACTGTGTATCTGTCCTTGAGCTGGTGTGCATGAGGCCTGTCTCCTTGTCTGTCCTGTAAATGTGTGTTTGGATGACCCTGTGCCTCTCATCTCATTTGTCCTGTAACTAGTTTGTGTGGGTGACCTATAACTAGTACATATGGGTGACTGTGTGCTTGTCCTGTAACTAGTGCATGTGGGTGACCATGTGCCTGTCACTGTCCTGTAACTAGTGCTTGCAAATGACTATATGCTTGCTTGTTGCCTCATCTGTACTAGTGTATGTGAGTGACTGAGTGCCTGTCACTGTGCCTATCCTGTAACTAATGTGGATAGTGATCATGTGTACATTGCCTTGTCTGTCCTATAGCGTGTGTGTGTGTGATGATGTGCCTGACACTGTATCTGTTCTGTGACTGTTTTTTATCTCTTCTCTTCTGTAACTGGTGTGTGTGTGTGTGTGTGTGTGTGTGTGTGTGTGTGTGTGACCATCTGCCAGTCGCCATGTCTCTTCTGTGACTGTGTCCCTGTCGCTGTGTCTGTTCTGTAACTAGTGTGTGTGTGTGTTTTCCTGCAGGGCCTGTGTGGCCCTGTGCCCTGTTCTTCCTGATGTGGCAGAGTTGGGTAGCTCCGAGGGGCAGATGCTCAGGAAATGAGAGCATTCTAATGGGCAGTCACAATACAGTGATGGTCCTCCATTGGCCAGATGAGTGATTATTATGAAACTATTGCTTCTGCAGTCATCATGGGCCAGACGGGAAAGAAGTCCGACAAGGGGCCTGTGTGCTGGCGGAAGCGAGTCAAGTCTGAGTACATGCGGCTGAGGCAACTCAAACGGTTCCGGCGGGCGGATGAGGTCAAGGTAGGAGAGCTTCCACTTGACTGCTGCGGCCAAAGTCTTGTGCGCAGCAGGCCCTGTGCTGTGGGACCCAGCACTCCAATACCCCTGCATGGCACTGAGGATGAGCCACCCTGGCAGTTTGCTGGGAAATGGTATCTTTTTAGGACAGTTTATATTTCTACATCAACTCTAAACCCAGAAACAGAGTTTTATGTTTATAATCCCACCCAGCCAAATCTGTTCCTGTTGAGTTGATTTCAGTTCACAGCAGTTCTCCACCAGCTTTCCAAGGCTGTAGAATTGTAAAGAGAGCAAGCTTCCAGTTTATTCCTGCAAAACAGCCGGTGGATTAGAATGGCCTTGCTCAAGGGAGCTCTGGTGGCCTAGTGGCAAGAAGCTGCAGTGTAATCCCAAAGGTGCCTGGTTTGAATCCACCAGATGCTCTGCTGGAGAAGGAGGGACAATCTCCTCCTGTACCAGTCAGATCCGATTTGATGGTACACACACACAATAATTAAAAAAAAAAAATTAAAAAATTAAAAAAAGGCAGAAAGTTGCCAAAAGACAACAACAAAACAATGGCCTTGCTCAGTACATTAACAATAGGTATCAGGATTCCTTTTATGTCCTAACGCCAAGCAAAACTCATACCAAATAGACTGCCATCCAGTGAAGTTTGACTCTTGACGACCCTCTAAGGTTTCTGAGGCTGTAAATCATTATTGGGAGAGACTGCCTGTTTTTATCCCTCAGAATAGCTGGTGGATTCAAACCAGTCACATTTTAATTAGCAATATGACAACACACCCCACCACCAGGGCTCCTTAAAGCTGACAGAATGGGTGGAAGTGATAGAGTTACCGTCTGATGGCTTTACATCACATAATATAGGCCTGGGATTATGAATGAGGTCTGGTCCTAATATTGATTTGAAAGTTGGACTAGGTGCCTGTGGTTCTTGGAATGATCTAAGAACAGCATGTGCAGCAAGGGAAGGTGATGAGTTTTTGTGAATAAGGATTCAGTCCTTTCAAAGTGGCCACATTCACCAAGTGTTGAAAGGCAAGTAGATGTCCCTCATTCAGAGGTTGCCTACAGTGAATGTGGGAAACCAGGGTCTAGTGTGAGACTTTTTGTAAACTGCTGTTTTGTAACAACAGTGTCTTTTCTTCCCTCCTTTATGTTTTTGAAGAGTATGTTTAGTTCCAATCGTCAGAAAATTGTGGAAAGAACGGAGATTTTGAACCAGGAGTGGAAGCAGCGAAGGATACAGCCTGTGCACATCCTGACTTCTGTGAGCTCTTTGCGCGGGACCAGGGAGGTTGGTGAACACGCGCCGCGGGCTTACAGCATGGGCGGGCTTGGGGTTGTGGGCTCATCTGGTGGGAAGACGCCCTGCCCTCGGGATGCTCCTCCCTGTGAACGGAGTTAGGGCTTGCATTGCTCGCTGTGCTGTGAATGTACCCCAGAACTGAGCTTGCCCACTGTAGGCGGGCAGAACCCGAGATCCTGCACCTTCTGATCCTCAGGCCACTCTAGAGCTCAGCCTTCTGACATTGACTTTCCTCCCCTAATATGAATTAGCCACATAGGAGTGAGAAATGTTATGTTCTTTTTTATGTTCACGGATGAAAAAAGTTATTTGTTATGTGTTTTATTCAGAAACCATGTCTGTATGTGGATTTAAAAAATTCAGTGTTGTGAGATTGGAATTATCTTTTTGCAACATTTTCAAATAAGGTTCTTCAGCCTCCAAGAGTTTCCCATTTTCAAAGGGGAGACAGCTCTCTTGGTATAGATCATAATTAAATGTCACATCAAAATAAAGATGCAGAATTCCCAGTTGGATGCTGGTTTTGGGTTCTGTGTAAGTTGTGGGTTCCATGTGCACATGGAGACCGTCTCAGGAAGGTCCTGGCAGAGGCGAGTGGCAGTGCAGTTGCTGATTCTTGTTAACGGGGCCTGTGAATATGGGCGCAGCCATACAGTAGGCTGGTCTGGGTTGATTTTTGTTTGAGTTTCTTCATTTGAGGTAGTATTATACACTGAGGTAATGATTTGTTTCTGACGCCTGTGGTGACAATGGTGCCCTCGTTGATGGAGTCATAGCATAGTGGCACTGTTGAAGCTCTGCCTTGTACAGTGAAAACATAAATGTGATTTGTCAGAATGCTCTATCATTCTGCTTTTCTGGGGTTAGGTTCTCTAAAACTTGGGACATTGTGCATTCTAGATCTAATAGATCAGTGACTTACAGTGAAAAGAACTCTCATAGACTGTTCTCAAAAGGGTAAGGACTGGGCTTAAAAATGTTCTTTCAAAGTTCTGGTGACCTTTGGAAATTTGGTGAGAGAAAAAGAAACTTTGCCCTTCTTCTCCCTCAGGGAAATAAATCTCTGAGATTTGGAGAAATAAGGTAGAAGCTAACGGGATTTATACCCACCGCACATCCCAGAGCATTCCCCAAGGTTTAGCTTGGGTTTATCAGTTGTGAGGGACTGCAGACCTGCCCTCCTAATGGGCTTGCAGCTCTTCTCAGATTCAAAGTGGTCTCGTTCCAGTAAAGTTCCTTGTCTCTAAAACTTAAGACTTTTATTTCATTCACATTAATATTTACATGTTTAATTTTGCTTTCAGTTTTATTGAATGGAAATAAAAGTAGTTAAATGTAAAGATACCTAATTATTTTGAGTGTTCATAGAAAAAAATCTGACAAGAAAATAACATTTTAATAAAGCGTAATTATTTTCTAAACTTAGGGCTTCCACACTGCTCCAGAAGTGGAAAAAAAGCATGGTCATAGAACACTGTGGGAGCAGAGAGTACCTACTTTGAGTGCTGCCTGCCTCTACCTTGGTCAGAGTTGGGAGTTAGAGAATGTTCGAAGTTGATTCTGCTCCAAGGACTCATCTTTTCCTCTCCCCCTCCTTCTTTAAACCATTGTCACCGAGTTTTGGAAGCTAAAGAGTTTTGTTTTTTTAAAAAAAATTCTGATTATAACCTTTATGTTTTTGGTGTTACTGTGACAATCACAAAATTTAAAGTCTCTTTGTCTAACCACTTGCTTTTCAGTTGAGAATAATTCTGCTTATTTTTCTTCAGCTTGGGCATTTTCAACCCCTAGTCAGTCATCTCTTTTGTATGCTTTGCACATTTGAGTAGGAAGTAGCTCAGACACAAGGACGGAAGTTGGCCTGCGTTGAAGAGGCTTCCCGCATGCTCTGAGCCTGTTTGGCGTGGCAGGGCTTCAGACTACAGTGTTGCCCTGTCCAGGTCCAGCATTTGGAGTGCCAAGACTGCCCTGCTCAGTTAACTGCTTATTTACACATCAGTCCCATCTGTGTGTTGCCATCACCCACTTGTGTCTTCTCCAGCGTGGTGAGGCAGCAAGTGCCTCCTTCTAGAAATCTCTTCTCTAGGGGTCCAGGTGAGGACATCTGATGGGAATGAGCATATGTTTCTACCATGGAAAGGCCTGCTGTGGACAGAAGGGCCTGCTGTGGACTCTGAGTGGCTGGGGAAGGCTTGATCTCACAAGTGCTCTGGGTGTTTGGTCCTTTTCCTGCTAAGATCACAGGGCTTAACTCAGTCTGAGTCTCTTTGTAAAAATGCTTAGGCTCCTTAAAAAGCGACAAGAAGTTGTCTACATTTACTTCATTTGTGCTTTAGTTGATTTTTTTTAAAGAACTATTTTCAAAATGCTTTAAAATGATATTAAACAGTAGGTGTTGGTCAAGGAATGTCCATATTATTTCCCTAGTATGTGATTCTACATTAAAAATATTACCTGCTTGACTTCCATTACTTTCACTTATTATTCAGAAAACAACTTTATCTTTTGTACATCTTCATGACTTTCCGTTTCTTCATTGCTTTTTCATTTCCTGCCCCCCAACAATTATGTGCTTTTTTGTTCTTAATATAGTTATTATTAGTGTATTTGATTTTGTTCCTTTGTCCATTTCTTGACAAGAACCAGGAGACAACTTTCTCCTTATAATTGTAAACATACTGTCATCGTTGAATGCCACCGAGTTGTTTCTGACACGTAATGACTGTACAACAGGACGAAACTCTGCTCGGCCCTGTGTAGCCGTATGTTGCTGCGTCTGCTCGAGTTCATTGTTGCAGTCCCTGCTAACCCATCACACTGAAGGGCTTACCCTTTTTTGCTGCTGATGTTTTTCCGAACTTTTCTAGGGATTCTCACTTCTAAGGAGCATTCTGGCTGTACTTCTTCCAGGACAGATTTGTTTGCTCTTCTGACTGTCCATGGTAGATTCACTGTTCTTCACCAGCACTAAAAGTTAACAGCTTTTATTCTGTCTTCCTTATTCATTTCTATTCATATAAGATGATTGATTTTCAAGGTGGCTTTGCTTTTTGACAATTGCCTTTTACATAGGGGTCTTGTGCAACAAATTTTTTTTTCCAGTGCAGTTTGTTATTAGATTTCTTTTTTCTTTTATCACATTCATCATTTATTGGATCACTGTAAGTCATAGTTGACTCAATGGCACCTAACAACAACAAAAAAATCAATTGGAGACATACTGAACCCTCTGAAATAAACTAAATGATCAAGCAAAAGATTCTCAAAAGAAAGGTGATTAAGGAGCTCTGGTGGCCTAGTGGCAAGAAGCTGCATTGCAATCTCAGAGGTGCGTGGTTTGAATCCGCCAGATGCTCTGCTGGAGAAGGAGGAACAAGCTCCTCCTGTACCGTCAGATCCAATTTGAGGGTATACACACACACACACACACACACACACACACACAATTTTTTTTAAAAAAGAAAGATGACTAACCAGTTATTTGTCCTTATGAGACTGAGTTAGTTCATTTAGCATAATGCTCTCCAGTAGCTCCTATGTTTGGTAGTAACTTGCAAATGATTGCTCCTGCATGCTGCATAGTATTCCATTGTGTGAATATACCATATTTTCATAATCCGTTCCGTTTCGGTTTGGTATTTGGGCTGTTTCCATGTTCTTGCTATGGCAGATAATACTGTATCAACATTGGTGTGCAAGTCTCTGGGCCTCAGTTCTCATTTTCTCCAGGTATGTTATTTGATTTCTTGACTGCTGCTCCCTAATCTGTTGATTGTAGATTCAAGTAAAAAGACATCCTTAACTTTAGTCTTTTCTCCATTCATGATGTTACTTAGGGATCTCTAGATTTTTGTTAATGTTCAGATGCAGTCTGTACTGAAGACTAGTCTTTGATTATCATCAGCCAGCCCTCTTTTAGTAAGCAGAGTTGTTACCTGCATCTTGAAAGTTGTTGGTAAGCCTTTCTCCTGTCTTAAGACTCCGTTCTTTATTTTAGTCTAGTTTTTTGCATTGTTAGCTCAGCATACAGATTGAATAAATATGGTGATATAACCCTGATGCACATATTTTCTGGTTTTAAACCATGTAGTATTCTCTGTTAGAATGATTGCTTCTTAGTTTATGGACAGGTTCTGTATGAGTACAATTAAGAAGGGGAATTTCCATCCTTGGCAGCCTCAGATTGTCAGGATGGAATAGGTGGTACAGTTTCCATTCCCTTTCTTTGCAGTGCTATCCATAATTTTACATAATCTGCACAAATTCTCCTGCATTGACAACCAAACACAATTTGTACAATATTCTCTGCTTTCATCCAAAATCCTATTTTGATGTACCGCTGTAACTGTTTTGAATCATCTTTAGCAAAATTTCACTTGCCTGGGATACTAAGGGATCTCTGGTGGAATAGTCTGAAGGGAATTGCTCTGCTGACTGAGACACTGGTGGTTCAAATCCATCAGCAGCTACTTAGGAGAAAAGTGGACAGTCTCCTAATAGCGATTTCCAGGCTTAGAAACCCAGGGGAAGGTCAGCCATGAGTGGTTCTGATATAATGGGCAATGAGTTGTTAAATTGTGTGTTACTATTGGTATTTGGTAATTTTTGCATTCTTTTGGATCCATTTTCAGTAGAGAAGTAACTGAGTGTGTTACTGAAGTTACAGAATGTGTTACTGAAAGTTGCTGACTGTATCATCCATGGAACTCATAAGCCACCATGCCACAACTAATTGATAGAAGAGTACGGGTAAAAATGAGAAGCTTACTGGACGCATGCCTGTTTTCTGGCAAAGTGGTGTAGTTTAGTGATTTTAAAATGTCTTAGTGATAAACACTTCAGGTTCCAAGAGGCTCTGCTGTGGCTGGAGGCAGGTGACTTGTCAAATTATCACATGTGGCAGCAGCATAGCACCAGCCTGGCCGTTAGCACTTGGAGAATGGAAAGAATCTTTGTCTTCTTCATATATACAGATTCGTTCATCCTAG